GGCGGGAGGCAGGCCCGGGCCGGCGCGCGCCCTTCGAGCCGCGAGCGCAGCCTGCGGCCTGGCGCGGGAAAGCCCGGCTGGCTGGCTCGCACGAAACCCGGGGTGGCTGCGAAGGGAGGAAGCATGGGGGAGGTCCTCCCAGCGGTGCACCCCCGTCGCAGCTCCCGACGCCTCCTGCCCTTCCACCTTGGAGAGGATTTGCGCCTCCCTCCCCACCCTCCCTTATTCCCCCTTCCACCCCTTCCCGGTGATCTCCTTAATGAAAAGTAGTTTATGACCCTGCTATTACTGCCCAGGCCCCCAAGAAGAGACAGGAGCAGGGAAGGAGTCAGCCTTAAATCTTTCAAACCAGAGACTCTTGCGAAAACATCTACCCTCTGTGGGTCACAGAGGGTTGAAATCTCCCCGGAAATGTGATCGATCTGTTGCCCAAGTCGTGCATCGATTCGGGCTTGTGTAACTAACTGTGACATCATTTGCCAGTGAGGTTAAAAGACTGCATAACACCACTGCTTTAAGCCTAAGGTCCCCAAGGACCCTCGAGGCGAGGAGGGAAGGGCGCCCACAATGATGGGAAAATCCGCTCGAATGAGCGCTAGCTCATCCCGCCCCCCACCCCCACCCTGCTCTTGGCTTTCTCACTACCCCTCCTTGTCTTGAAATCCAACTTTCAAAGCCATTTGTTCAAGCTCCCAGGACTTGGTGCACGGTTACTGTTTAATTCAATTTAGCTCCCTCCCCAACCCCACCCCCCAGCCTATTTCAATAATTTTTTTTCCATTCTACTTTTAAATATTTAAAGGGGTAGTGTTTTCACAACTAATTCAATGGTTTCACAATTACAATAAAGCTTTGTGAGAGACGACCAATGGAGAGCATTTGAAATGGAGAGAAGTCTTGTTACCTAATTGTATTAAGAGCTAGTCTGCACTGTCAGGATCCAGGCACCAATCTAAGACTTTATTCACACACATTCTCTTGGTACAGAGGACCAAGTAGTAACTGTCTGAGCCAGATCAGATCACTTACATTAATGCTCTCATTAAGATGGGGGTGCTGAACTTTTAAGGTTCCTTCCTACCTAGGCAGAGAGACATTGCCAGTGCTAGGAAGCAGTACTTAACACCTGTGATGTTGTTGTTTGGGACCTTTGAATTGAATATATATGCGATGAACTACAGACCTAAATCCTGTCCTATCCTGGGCCATCCTCATGGTCTCCCATACACTTGAGCCTACTGCTGCCCACTGAGTGAGTCACCATGTAAATCCATCTCATTAGGCGGTCTTCCTCTCTTTCCCTGACCCTCCACTCTCCCAAAGTATGATGTCCCTTTCCAAGCAATAGACTCTCCGAGCAACATGTTAGGCACCTTCAGGTCTACTACGACTCATAGTGACCCTCTGAATGACTGATCTGAACTTCTGCCTCGAGCCAGCCTCACAACCTCTGGCCATACTCCTGCCCACTGTTACAGGCACTGTGTCAATCTATCTTGTTGAAGGTCTTCCTCTCCTTCTCGACCCTCCTCCTTTTCCAGGCTGATGTCTTCTTCCAAGGACTGGCCCCTCTGACAACATGACTAAAGTGTGTGAGGTGGTTTTATTGTCCTTGCTTCTAAGGAGCATTTTTAGTTGTACTTCCTCTAAGTCAGGTGTGTTTGTTCCTTTGGTAGTCCTTGGGATTCCTGTGGATACAATTTAAAATTCTTTGTGTATATGTTACGCATGGATGCATTAAAAGATAAGATTTTTTTTAATTTCCTTTATACTTAAAATGCTGTGGTTCTAGAATTTGAAGGAGCTCTTATTAATGAGCATAAAAATTCTAGAATCACAGAATTTTAAGCATTGGGTGAGCACCCACAAGGCATTAGGAGACAGAAGCAAGAGAATTCCATTATTGTATGTGAAATGGAATCCAATTGATAAATGTGTGTCCCTTCCCTCAAGGTGAGACAATCTGGTTGGAAAATGGGAGTATCGTTAAAACTTGATGTAATAAGGTGTGCATTTAGAAAAAAAGCCTGCTGGCCTGGTGTCAATACTGACTGCCAGTAACCAAGGACAACTGTCTCTATAATGTTTCCAACGCCGGAAAGGTCCTGCCACATCTGTCTTCCATGGAGAAACTGGTGGGTTAGAACAATCAACCTTAGGGTCAGCAGTCACGTCATGTGTTTCAACCACTGTGACATCAAGTTTCCTTAAACCGTGTGCTCCAGAGATAGAGGCCTAGAGTAGACCAGGAGGGCTTCAGGGTGAAGGCTGTCCCTGTGCTGAGCCCTGGAGGAGCTGCAGAGTCTGGAACATCCAGAAATACCCTGCCTTTCTCAGTTTCCTCTAGTCTAGCAGCGCTGATCCTAGGTGCTTTGACACTTGTGTGCAGAATACACATCATTTCCTCAAGAAGTTCAAAGTGCACAGGGACAGCTGTAAAGGACATTTCTTTACACTCCATCTATGGCCAAGCCCAGGACCTTATAACTAACTGCGTCACTCACTCACTCTGTGCCACTGAGGCAGTTGTGACTCACAGCAACCCCTCGCTGAGTTTCCAAGGCTGTGCACCCTAAAAGGACACTGCCCATCTCTGCCTCAGAGTCACCAGTGGGTCCAAACTGGCGGCAACACAGGCTTTTGGGTTAGCAGTGCAGCTAGCTACTGACTATGTCACCAAAGCTCGTCACATACACAGTAGCAGTCTTTGTACCCAGTGTTGTTGCTGTTGTTGTTGTTGTTAGGTGCCACTGAGTTGATTCTGACTCATAACAACAGATCAGAACCTTGCTCAATCCTGCGCCATCCTTATATGTTCAAGCCCATTGTCGCTGTGTCAACTCATCCTGTTAAGGGTCTTCCTCTCTCTCTCAGACCTTCCATCCTTCCCAGCAAGAAGTCTTTTTCCAAAGACTCAATATTCTTGTTGTTCTTAGGTGCCACTGAGTCAAGTATGACTCATCAATCCTGTGAATAACATGCCCTACCCTGTTCCATCCTCATCATTTCTGATATATTTGCACCATTGCTACTGTCACTCTGTCAATTACCAGCTTGTTCAAATGTCAGGTCACACATGGGACTTCTTATTGCTCTCTCCCCCTCACCATTCATTTTTTTTGCTCATTAAAAAAATTCTTTTTAGAGGGACTATGGTGTCTTTCTTCAATGAATGGAGGAGTGGAGGGGAAAAGGTGGAGTGACAAGAAGTCCCATGTCAAGTGACCTGACACCTGAACAGGCTTGTTACAGGCAGAGGACCAAGAGGCTAGTGAGGGAACAAGAAATGGGGGACACAGAGAAGAAGCGGAGGTGGTGGGATAGGATCCAGAGTGTGAGAGATCTTGAGCACTAGTCACAGGTTTTCTCTAGCTGAGAAGAGCATAGAATACCAGTGCCCATGCAAGAAAGTGACCTGGCAATGCTGCTCAAGGGTCAGAAAGGACAGGCCAGGCATTGCCCCCTGCGCAAGGCCCTCTGGGAAGGAGGTGGGAGACAGACTTGAAACAGGCCCTGGGCAGCACGTGTGTGCTCCCATCTTCAAAAGAAGGGCTAGGCTAGCAGGACCTGGGAGGCCGCCACAGACTCATCGTTCATGGTAAAAGGACTGCTTCATTTGTGGATCTCAAAGGTCTCGAGGCACTCGTTAAGCCCAAGAAAGCCCTAGTGAAGGGAGATGGTGTCCAGCTGAGGGAAGGAAAGTACATTTTTCTCTTCTGGGCCTTATGTCCAAGAACCTCTAAGGATGAAATTGTTGTGACTCTCTGTTCTTCCCTGGTTAATTTCAACCTCATATAGATAGATGTCCTTCCCAGGTACCTTAGGAATTCCCTTCTGTTCTGCTGACATTAATTTACCGAGTGTCTCACATTGTGCCTGGTACACACTAAATTGGCTGAAAGTTCTTCGAGACAGGGACTGTGTCTCATTCATTAATATACTCTCCCTATGACCACAACATAGTTGGCGCTGGTTGGTCTGAGTTGCAAACATCTGCTCTCAGAAAGTTCAAAATCCAGTATAGGAGAGAATGGTCTCTACTCCACTTCTTCCAGTGCCATCTCTCAGGACCAGAGATGACTCTAGTATTCCTTCTAGCTTAAATGACATTGTGCAAATTCAAATAACAGAACTGTAAAAATACAAACACACACACACACACACACACACACACACACACACACACACACACACAAGATAAATAAGGAACGAGGACTCATGCTACATAAAGATACAATTCAGGTAATTGTAAAATGCTTCAAATCAGCTGGAAGAAATATGATTGCTTCTATAAGGATTTGATAAGACATTGTAATTAACTAATTTCAATTATTGTTATAAAACAAAGGTGTATATAAATGATTGAATAAAACCAATATGATTTATAAACTTTCATTCAAATAAAAAACCCTCAAAATTTATGGAAATAAAAAAATGAAAGTAAATAGCTAATGTGGAAAA